GTGGGCCAAAAGAGTTATGCATATCCTGCTGGTTTAAACCCCTAGCAGAAGTTCTTCCCTGTTAAATGGTCTCCCTACATGTTAAATTCAGTGTATGGACTGATAGTATTTTCTCATCCAATATATGATACAAAAATGGCACCTCCATCTTTGCTGGAACTTTCTTCACTTAATATTTTTCTTTCACCTTTATGCCCAACACTTTAATAACTGCTTTTCTTTCCCATGGTCCTTCTCCCTCATTTTAGGGAATCCATCTCCAGCTCTGTTTGCATGCCTTCAGTCCTCTTTCATTCCCTCAACTCATCTTGGTTCATCATCTTTACTCTTTGTTCGCAGCCTGTCCTCCTCCCCAGCCTGTAGGTCTTGTCCACCCTCCTCAGAACGATTCAAGGAGAGAAAGATGAAAGGGAGGGATTATTTTACCCGACAGTTTATCAGGTCATCCTCCCCTGAGTTTCTTTTCATGCGTCTCCACACCTTGAAATCTTCCCCCTCCTTCCTGTTGTGATCTCAGCCTTTTCCTTCCTGCCTGCTCTGGTGAATACTCTGGCAGTGAAGCATGTGGGCATATAAAACGTCACATTCCGCATTCTGCATGTGTAGATAGAGTTTAAAAAAAAATAATCGGAGGCTTAGTTACATGTAGCGATTACCAAATAAAAAATGTGCCGTAGTGTTTTCATGGAAGGCGCCGGCGGAGGGGCTCTGGCAGGGGGCCAGGCTGCAGCACGGGAGAGCTCCCATGGAGCCGGGCCCCTCCGGAGCTCGGCACAGCGCCCGGGGCTCCGCGGCAAAGCAAAGGCGGAGATGGGTGCCCGGGCACTCCGGGGACGGTGCTGGCAGAGGTGCCTGGAGCTGGGAGGCTGTCCCGGTGTGTCCTACGGACAGGTCCCGGTGGTCCCTGCAGTGCCGCGCTCCCCGCGCCTTGCTGGAGGAGTTGGCCCTTCCCCTGATTTCGGACTGCTGCATTGGGAATTTGCTTCAGCTATTTCCTGGAATATGAATTTGTTTATTTTCAAAAGAGAACAAACGTAAAACTCACACAGTAGCTTTGGGTAGGGCGTTTCTTGGTGGAAGAGTGATTTGGATCGTTGAATTATTGCCTCTTTTTAAGAATTTAAGTACTTCTGGAGATTGCATGGAGCACAAAAGCATCTGGTAGCACATGAATAGCACAAATGCAAGAAAATCGTGGTCCTGATACCATGGCTTTTACTGTCGTGTATATCTCATTAAATGTTTGCAAAGTGAGTGCAAAAGTACTCGCATTTTGGTTTGGGATTTTTCTCACCTATTTTCCTTTGACTGGAACCCTATGTACCCGATTAGTCATGCCACTTTGGTTCTTATCTAATTCTAAAGAGTAAATTAATCAACGTCATTACTGTGGACCATAGTGATGTGGCTACTAAACAGGGTGTGCCATCTTTTCACTGCGGTTTGAAGCACTTCAATGGATGATGCTTCTGGAAATCGTTTGGTTAACTTATGACTTGGCCCTACAAAATCTGGTAGTGTGCTCAGCTTTGTGTGGTATGAGCCATCTCGAAAGTCAGATCTCCAGCTACATTTTCAGACGGCCTCATCGTGCATGGGTTGGGCATCCAACGCCCAAAAGTAAAATAACATCTTTAAAAGCCTTTCCTTTTAAAAGGAAAAAAATTGCAGTATTTCTCTTAGTGCTTAAGTAAATACTTACTTTGTAAAGGACACTAAAAACTCTTTGTCTAAAATACTGGGAAAAGTTTATTTTTCAAAGCTACAGGCAGCAGTTCATCGTGCTATAGGAAATGCTAAGGCTATGCAGTCACCACCTTAAAGCAAAGCAAATCTCCTAAGTTTTCTTTTTGTGTTTTTATTGCTTTTATCTCAGGAACAAAATGTACAATTAAGGAACTCGAAAACTAACGTCCCGCCCCTTCAAACAATGGCCAAACGCAAAAGCAGGTTTGAGCCCGCACTGATGAACATCCCAGTTCTGTTGCCGGCTCCAGGGGGGCGAGAATTCCTTCGCCGTGAGCGCTGCAGGACGGCGCGGGGCGGAGAGCGCAGCCCCGGGCCCTGCCGAGCGCCCGCAGCCGGCCCGTCCCGCAGCCCCCGGCAGCGCTCGGGGCGGTCCCGGTGCCGGTCCCGGCCTGCTCCGCTGCCCGCGTTCAAACGCCCCCCGCGCTCCCATAGGCTGCGCCGGCCCGGCCGCGCTCGGCCCCCGCCGCCACGACCATGGCGCGGGGGAATCCGGCGGGGAGCGAGCCCCGCGGGCGGCAGCTCACCGCGCCGCGCCCCGCAGAGCCCGCGGGGCCGGGACCGGCCGCTGCGCCGCCGCCGCTCCGCCGCCGTCCTGGGGTCCGGCTCTTGCGGCAAAGCGGGGGCAAGCGACGGCGGGGCGGGCAGTCCCCCCGCGGCGGGATGGGCCGTGCCGGCAGTCGGACATGTCGGTGGCTGCGCGGGGGGAGAGGCACGAGGCGGGCGGGCGGCGCGGCCGCTGAGCGGGCGGGCCCGGGGGCAGCGCGGCCGCTCCCGCGCTCCGCGCCCGGCGGCGGAACCCGGTCCCGGCGCGCCAGGCACCGCGGGAGAGAGACCACACTTTTACCAAACTTGAGCCTCTGCTCCCCTTCCTCTTTCTTCCTCTCTCCCTCCTCCCCCGTCCCCGCCCCTTCCCTGCCGTCCTCCTCTTCCTCCTCCCCCCCGCGCCCTGGGATGTTTATTCGGGCGGCTGCGTGAGGCGCGGGCGGCGGCGCTGAGTTTCTCTCCCCCGGCCTGAGGAGTTGCAGGCGCGCACACGCTCGCCCGGCTCCGGGGGAGAGAAGGAAACAAAATGTCTGCCAGGACTGCGGCGGCTTCCACGAAGGTAAGACTCGGGCCCGGGGCGGCCGCGTTCCCTGCCCGCTCCGATCCTGCGGTACCCCCGGCGCGGCTTTCCCATTGCCCCGCCGAGCTCGCACCGCGGTGGCCGCGGCTTTACCCCCGCCAGTCCCGAAGGCGCGGGCTAGCGCGGACCGAGAAGGGGGGCGAGGCGGGCCGGAGCCTCCCGGCCGCCTTCTCCGCAGAGCTTCCCTCCCCCCCTGCCTGCCGGGAGGGGCGCGCAGGTGGCCGCACCCCCCGGCCCGGGCCGCTGCCCCGCCGGCCGCCGCGGTCCCCGCCCGGCCCCCACCTGTTGGACGTGCGGGCCCCGGCGGTGGGACGGCCGCGGCAGGCGGGCCCTGCCCCCGGGAGAAGCCCCCGCGCTCCCGCCGGTGCGCTGGCCGTGCCCTTTTGTTCCAGGCTGGAGCCGGCTAGCAATTAGGAAAGATTCAACCGGGAGAGTCCAGTACTGCAGGATTTTTTCTGTGGCCGCTGAATCAGTTGGGGATGATTGTTGCTGACATACGGTAAACAGCTTTGGGGCGGCAGTAATCCGTCAGAAACTTGTGCCGGTCCTTCACCTGATCGTAGGTGTTGCCGGTGCAGGTGCACGTCGCGGGGTGTGTACTCTGACCTCCCCCGGCACTGCGCGGCCGTGAGTAATGCCGAGCGGCCCGGGGGGGAGAGGTGGAGTTAGGAACGCTCAACAGGTTATTTCTCCTTCGTGTAAAATTAAAGGTTTGCTTTGAAACTAGTTCGGATTTGAATTTCGAACTAATTTTTAGCTTGTGGCGCCTGAGCAGTTGCTCCGGCTTCTCAGCGCTACGAGTTCCCGTCGTGTGTTAGCTGTGTTACCGGAGCTCGGCTTAGTGGTGGCTGCTTTCGAGTGAAACTATGTGGTTTCGGTCTGATGTCACTTGCTGGTATGCACTTACTCAGAAGTGGTGTTCTACAGGCTAAGGTAAAATATACACCTTACTGTATTACTACCGAAAAACTTCGGCACTTGAGATACTAAGTAACAAACTTATTGTTGTAAGATACTATTAGCTGGCGATTTTACCAACTCCGGTCTTACTTTCGAGGTGTGTTCGAGGCAACCTCAGCTTCCAGAATGGAATTTAAAAAACTTAAAAGCTAACGTTGACTATTGAGCTTCATGCCTCATTTTATGTATGCTTCCGGAGGTATTGTATTACATTTTAACATACACACAAACGCATTTCAACAATAAATGTTTGTTGTTGGGTAAAATTTCACACTTCTGGTATCACCTAGCTATGGAGACAGATGAAACGTACCTTTTAGCCCTTTTCAAATGTATTTACATTAACAACAAATAGGAGTTGAAGATGAATGTGTTAGAATTCTGCTGTGTGTGGGATTGTGAGAAATTGCATCAGATTTTGTCGTTTTTTTTTTTTTGTATAAAAATCTCATTTCTGGTTCAAAACACTCTTTAAATACAGCTATTTTGTGAGGCTGCGGACAAGTATTGCCTTCCACACATGCATGTACTGTCTTGAAGTGTTTTTCTATTTTTAAATACGGAAGTGTATTTAAAGTTGCAGAAGTGTTCAGAAAGTGTATCTGTTTTGGCTGTAGGCTGGTGTACAGACTTTGTTAATTGGAAGTTGTATCTTGCCATAGCAGTTATTTGAAACTCCTTTTGCTCATGGTCACATCACATTGGCCCTTGGAGCTTGCATACATGCATACAGTATCAGCCAAACTAATTATACTGAAAGGTGTGTTAATATAAGAATGTTGCAAAATATAGTCTCACTGGGGTTTAACTCTTCACTGGGAGGCTTTCAGATTTATGGAAGTCATACAATTAAAACAGCAAATCTTTCTCGGGGAAAAAAACCTCATTTTTTAAGTCCTATGACTGTCACTGTAAATATTTAACCTGTGATAGCTTTTTATCAGAATTATTTCTTACCTTTTTATGTTGATTACAGAAATGTCTTTAGAGACCAGAATCCGATGCATACAGTTCATATGACTTTCATTTTCAAAATGAAATGAGGTCCTTTCAGTCTATGGATAATGTTAATTGTATTTCAGCCATTAGTTCCTGCTCTCCATGTAGTTTCAATAGTTCTAGACAAGGAGATTAAAAAGTATTTTGGAAATATTAGCATATTGGGGGATTTCTGTGTTCACATTCCAGATCTTGTTTCCTTTAGTTACCCCTTTGGATATGGTATCTGGTGTCTCATTTTTGGGGTTGTAATGCATTGAAAAAGCCTCTGTAAATGGTTTTCTCTTAACATTTACTTAATATGCTTTTGTGTCCATATCCACAGTTTGCTTGGCACACTTGACCAGACAAAACCTAAAAAAGAAAAAAATTATTTTTGGTTAACTGAATAATTCTTATTTGTATGAGAGATAATCTTGGCTGCTGTGATTGATTGTGTTATGCCCTACTATCAACAGTCTTAAACAGTTTCACTGCCCTTCAGTTTTGATTACTTAACCTTTTCCCCTGCTATGCTGTAAAGTAATGTGATTTTATTAAGGTGTTATGTGTGTGTTGTAGCTGTTGGTAATCCGCAGTAGAAAATAGTGGAGAAATGACGACTTGCTGGAAGTTTAATCTGGTTGTGGCTGTTACTGCAAAGTCTAAGGGGCCTAATCTCTTCTGATGTCTTTTTGAACAGTACTAATGGATGCTTTGGGAATGACTGTATCAGGGTCTTAATAATGGGATGTAAACTTTCTTTCTGCCTGTAAGTTGGAGATTCAAATATTGTCCATATAGTAAAAAAACCAACCAAACAAAAAAAAATCACTCCAAAAAGCTTTTAAACTGTAAATGTGGGGGCTGAACTTATTGAATCCCTGAGCCTTTTTGAATGCTGAACCTGAGTTCTTGATATTTAAATACATTCATGAAGAGTATTTCAGTCTTTCTCCTCAGTCATGTAACTAATTAAAGTTTTGGTTATTATAACTGGCTTTCTAGCTCCAGGCATGTATCTATTAATTACCCTTTGAATTAGGAGCTGAGAACATGACTGTGTCAATGGCTCAAGACATGCTGATTGCAAGGACTCCTTGGTTTTCTGTTTTGGAGGCCGTGACCTGTGGTATTCATAAGTGTGGGGTTAGCATTGTATCCAGAATCTTACTTGGAAACACCAATGGGTTTGTTTCTTGTAGGACATATGTGTGCAAATGTTTCTAAAGTGGTTTTTAATTCAGTCTGTGAGATAGCTAAGTTTGGAGCAGTGTTTTATTTTTCCCGTATAAGTCTGTATATGGGCACTGTACAGTAAGATCGGTTCTTTGGTTGTTTGTGAGATTCTTCAACTGTTACAACTAAGAAATAAACGCGTAGAAAGCATTTATATACAAATATACTGCAGTATACAAAGAATAAGTACATTTAATTTTCCTAGTGTTTCTGTAAGTTGTATATGGACCTTAGGAAATACTAATTTTAATGTTCTGGTTGGTATTTTTCAAAGAATAGCTTATATGAGTAACTTGCATTTGAGGCTTGGATTTTCTTGAATTCGTTGTTCCAGTTAGTACTATCAGCAACTTCAACTACCAGATGATATTTCAGCTGTGTTTTTCAGTATGACTTTGGCTGCAAGGTGAGAAGAGCTGCCAGCTCCATGTTCTGCAGGTCATTATGAAGTGTATTCTGGAGTTTGCTTCTGGTTCAACGTGCAGCGTGAAGATTACTGTAATGTAAACAGAGCTTGAAATCTGACGGTGCCTGGCAACTGGCTCCACCTTTATAGAGTGGAAAATCAGTAAGACCTTATCAGCAACCAGCTAGCTAATCTTTGTGTCAAGAAAAACATGTAGAAATGGGTTATTGTACATCATAGGTATTCTGACATGCACATTGTGCTACTTCTTAGGTTCTATGATAATAGTTACTGGGCTTCTATCTGTGCTGAAAAAAAAAAAGCTCAAAACATAGTATTTTGATTTGTGCTTGAAGTCGAGTGGTTATTGAGCTTGACTATGTGTCTGTGTTGGCACTGCAATGTACCATTGTTGTCAAAGCCTTCTGTGTACTTGTGAAAATACTTGGTTTTTAACTACTCAGCATAAGTTACTGAGTTGGAAACAGAACTGCAACTAGTTGACTACTTGGGCTCTGAATTGTGCTAAATATGTTGGGTTTATTACTTGAAATGCTGTGCACAAGTATTGTCTATCTCAGGTCAAAGCATTAATCCAAAAGCTTTGTGTTGAAGTTCTCACCAAGGACTGAAGTGTTCACCCCTCTTTTTTGCCAATAAGCTTTCAGTGTGAAATAGGATCCTTCTTTCTGATTTCTTCTCCTGTCCTCGATACCCAGTGGAAAGGCCATGTCTCGTGTACACGTTGGAGTGATGGGGGAAAATCTGATTAGTCACGGTATGGGGGGAGTAAAGCCATGTACGTGTCAGTTTCAAAGTTAATAGTCCCAATATTTGGTTTGTAACATTGTCAAACTCTTAAGTGTCAGTTTGAATTAAGGGATAGTATTTGAAACAAATGGCTTTCATTGGTTTTGTTATGGGTTAAGAAAGACCTTTGTCCTTTATATCCCCACAAATATTTCTGTGTTATCATGATATAAATACAACAGATATTAATATCAAACTATGCCCAGTATTTTCTTAGGCAAATATATTACTAATGACTTCTTCACTGAATGTACTGATTAAGCAAACAGCCGTAGGGAAGTCTTAAAATGAATTCCATGATTCTGTGCAGTGTATTTATGCTGAGTCCAAAAAGTCCTGAAATGAAAACACTGTCTTGTCTTATAATTATGCTATTTTAGGGACAGATTATTCAAATATGCGCTGTACAGTCAGAAATAGTAGGGGTGCTCTTATTTCAAGGGGCTGTGACGTGCTTGAGTGAAGGATCTGAGAAAATGGAGGGACACATTCAGCTTAATATTTAAGGTCCAACGTGGATCCCTTGGAGGCTGCAGAGTAACAAGTGCTGCTGAGGCCACAAGTGTGGTGACTTGTCCAGGGACAATGCTGTTTGCTTGGTTATCCATGGGATTTTCCTGCTGTAGTGTGCTCTTAAACAGCTCCTGAAGCCCCATGCTCTGTGGACTGTTTGAGTTATGTAGATGGGCTGCTGCGAGGTTGGAGAACTGCCCCAGTGTGTTCAGGACTGGGCACTTGGCTTACGTTTGCTATTCCTAACTCTGTAGGACCTTCAGTAGTTCTTTAGAGGTCTTTCCTGCGTTTGCACGTCAGGATTTATTTAGACCCTTGTACTGTTGATGCTGAAAATTTAAATATTGACTGTACGTTAAAAAATTATTTATTTTCTCAAGAGTATTTGGTAATCTCTAATAGGATTCTTGTTTCCTAATCCATTATAAACAGATGTTCTTCCCTTTTGTGATGGGGGGGAGGGTAGCCTAAATTCAGTAAGATGATAGCAGTAGGGAGTGTTATGTTGGAAAAGTTCATGTTCTTAGGAGAAGTGGGCAAACGTGACCTTTTTGGCCTATATAACTCATCATAAAGTGTATGGTTAACTTCCCATAGCCGAGGAAGCAACAACAGAACTTGGTACAGCTCTGATGGCCTTTTTGTCTCCCCACCCCCATGTGTATAAAGTACTGATATGCTGAAAATAGAAACTGAGCAAAAGTCGGCAGTTTGATTTGTAGTTCCCAAGGCTTTTCCCAGTACGTACTGCACTGCAGAGCAGCCTTCTGTCTTCCTCACATTGGCCTTTTACGTTCGACTTCTTCTTAGGAACTTAATTATAAGATATTCCCCCACCCCTCCTAAAAAGGCAGTAATTAGTTTTCAACTTGTGGTCCTTTGGGACTGTGTGGGCAGTTCCTTGCCTAGTTTGAATGGGGTCCAGCTACAATGTCTTCCCCTCTGCCCCAGTGGGTCAGCAATCACTTTAACAGATGGCCCCCTTCTCTGTATCCAGCTTAAAAATTTTCTTGTAAACATGAAATGGACCTGTTCCAGCTATTTACACTCTGGGCTGGTGACTGTTTCTTAGGATGTATCCAGATGGGAGATAGAATGAGCAAGGTGCTTGGAGACTTGTTAATACACTTTTCAGAACATATGGTCGAGCGTTTGGACCGGGCTCTGGGAGGCGACTTTGTTGGGCTGAAATAACATCCACTGCCCTTTCCTGCAAACCTTCTTGGGTCTCTTTCTTTAGACAGCCATGGGGCTCTTGCAGCAGCATTAATGACTTAGCTATTTTCAGTATGAATTCAATAACACAAAAATTACTAAGAAGTAACTTGTGGCTAAAGAGACACTGCTCCATTTTTCAAGTTAATTAAAAGGAATAATAATCTTAAATTATAACCAGAAGCAGTAGCATAATGAAACAGGACAGATTGTGAAATTGGAACAATGATGTCAGTTTTTCTATTACTTAAATTACAGCAGTGGCAACATGACTTTAACAAAGAACTGACCTGGCACATGTTGCTATAAAAAGGTATATAAAAACTTATTTAAAAGTAAAAAAAAAATAATAATTAAAAAAATTAAAGCAAATAATATATACACACAGATGCTTTCAGCTTCATTGAAAATATAATAGGTAATTATATAATTATGTAATCTAAAGACTTACTTGTTTTAATAGAAAGTAACAATTGGAATGACTGTAGCTGTAACGCTCTAGAAGTAACTTTGAGGTGCTACTTGACAATGTGGTATCAATTAATTAGTTAGCTGTAATTTGCTTGGAATCAGGATAGTACCTGGGGCTAATTCTGCCAATTATTGTTTATCTGAACAAATTCCAAGATTTGTAATAGATACGTAATTCATGCTCATTTTGGATGACTGGCTTCCCCAGAATTAAATCTGGGAGAAGGCTGGATCATGTTAACCCTCTCATCACAGGACGCTTGTTTAAAAATTTTGTCACATCCCTTGACCCAGCATTGTTCCTACATATTATTTGGAATAAATGCTCCTTTGCCCATGAATGCCTTCACATGAATTAGTTTCTCAGTTAGGTGACAGGGGTACTGGATTTCCCTGTAAACCTGGACTCCTGAAATCATTTTTTCAGTGGGTATTAAGATCTTGAAGCCAAGCTTAAAGGTATGGCTTTCTGACAAAAGAACTTGTGTTTCCTTCAGAATTGAAATTGTGGAAAGTTATTGGTCATTGCATACAGGATAAACCTCTCAGTTAATAACCCAGCTATGTAAGAATGGAAATTCCTGGAGTGTAATCCCATATGAGAAAACTCAATGCACTTGCATTTTGATTGGGTTTTGCTCTCTATGGATGATGTAGGCTGGATTAATATTCCTAAAGCAGGGTGCATTTAGCTAGGAAGCACAAGAAAGGTGTACAGGTTTACAGAAACAATGCTGATGGCTTGAATGAAGAACATGTTTCATCTGAATCAGATACAGTGCTGTAGAAGCACTCTGTGGGGTTATTTTTTACAATGCTCATGTAGTTTATTGTGGGTTTTTTATTGTTGGTGGTTCAATAGTAAATCCACCCTAGAACTGCCCAGGAAAGTGCTGAGTTTCAAATGAGGGGATCTGTTGTTTAAATAGTTTGAATACCAATGTTAACATAAAAGGTTTTCTTACTTGTTGTGTTTATTTGCAGTCAGTAAATGTCTGTCTTGGGAAGGTGTGTAAGGAATAGCAAAGAGCCAGTGGTTGAGAGTTACTGACATAGTTTCTCCTTTAGAATGACCAGTGGTGGTGTTTTTTGGGGTTTTTTTCCCCCTTCCTGCATGATAAGGGCACCTTTTAAGTCAGTTGCATTATTGGTAATACTAAGATTGTTTTTCTGACTGCAAACTTAGTTTGGTTTACAATAGTGTGAGATCCATGTCCTATACTTGTCCTGCTGGCATTGTAGTTTAAACAGGCAGATGCCTTTTAAACATAATTGTGATGTTTCTGGAGTATGTGTTTCGTTAGCCTGAATTTCTGATTGCATTTATTATTTCCATCAAAAACAGAATCAATCGTGCCTTAAAAGTAATTTAAACAAAAGGAAGCAGTCAGAGAAATATTGCATAGGATTTTTTCTTTCTTCTTTATGGTAGAATTAAAATTGAGAATTTTTGCCTTGTTCTTTTTATTTAATTTTTCTCTCTCCTGTGTGAATGATGAATGCTTGAATTCAGCTCTAGTGTAGTAGAACTAGATTTGTTCGTGGTGTGGTGGCAGTGGAAGCAGATGGTGCTGGTGATGTGCAGCAAAAGGGCTGCATGGGACAAGGTGGAGGAAACTGGGGAGCTTCCAGGACAGATCCTGTGCAGGGAGCCTGGAGTCAGCTTGGTCACTGCATTCTGTGCTTTGGGGCACCACACAAACACCTGAATCAAACAGTGGGTTGAAATAATTTTGACTGTGCCTGAATAGGCTGTTGGCAACTAAATGCTACATTTTCAATATTGTGAGGTAGATTGACTGATCTAATTTTGCTTTTCTATTTCTAGAAAAATCTGTTGTTAAAGTCAATGATTGGCCTTGTTTGGCTATGAGTAAATTGCTTGGGATGTTTATAACTGGCAACATGAATTTTTCTTTTCTCTAATAGAAAGTACTGGTTTTCGACTGGAACTAAATCCTTATCATGAAAATTACATTTTGCTTGCTCCAGAAGAGGACCTTTTTATTTACTCAGTAGTAGTTGTAGTCTTGCTGTATTTAAAAATTAGTTTTGTAGGAAGTAACTTTAAACATTTGGGAACACTTGTTAAGAAATAGAAACCTTCAGAGAAATTTCTACTTTGTAAACTACTATAGACGGTTACAAAACTTTGTCGATAGTTTTTCCTCTATCAGAAGAACAGACTTTGATGTTTTAATCTTCCTTTTTAAAATTTGTACATTATTCTGAATTTCCTGGATATTCTTGCAGTGTAAAAATTAGTACGTAGCTGACCAAAACATAATACCTAAAATCTTGTCTTTACTGTCCTAACCCTTCAAGCAATGTAATTATGTTGCTTCCAAGCGATAAGCCAAGGCAATTTACAGATTACTGGAATGCTTGAAAACACTGACCTTTCAGGTCACTCAGAGCACTCCTATTATGCAGAGATTGCTGTGGCACTGTTGTAATGTGCTGGCCTGTCACATGCTGACTAACTTGCAGAAAGCTTTGATGCAGCTGTTTTAAAAATGCTTTTGCTGACTGATAGGCACTTAGGCTACTGCCTGTGAACAAAGCCAGCTCTCATTCCATGCTTTTAGCCCCCATTTTCTATAACAACACTTCTTCCCTGCTGACTACACACACAGTTCTTATCTGGGCCCAATTGTTGACTTGTCTCTATTTAAATTGTATTTGTGTTAATTTTCACTTCAAAAATAGTCATGTGTGTGAGAGAGATGTGGTTTGTGTGGTTTATTCAGAGCTGCTGCAAACAAGCAGCCTTGAAAAGCTCATGCGGTGGCTTTAAAGAGAGGGTGGATTAGGGAGAAGAAAGTGTGTGTGACTGACCGGGCAGAGCAGGGGAGAGAAGGGATTAAAAAACAATGGCCCTTTATTGATGACGAGTACAGTGGAAAGTAGTTTACTGCAATATATTCTATAGTTTGAGCTCTAATGTCTTTTCTTGAATTGGTGTGAAGAATAAGAAGAATTTGACAAATGTTTCCTTTTAATGTCTGATGCTTAATGGGCATCATACATGGTAATTATGCCAGTACCTTCTTCAGTATTAGACAGAGGTCTAGAACATGAATAGAGGTTAAGCTGACTTGATTTTTTTGTTTACTGTCTTTACTTTTATTTAGTTTTATTAATAGCTGTTAGATCAGGTAGTGCCTGAATTGCAGAGATCATGGGAAAAGGAGAAATAAGTACAAAAGAATAAAATTTTTAATTCTAGTGGCCTGGTGAGACTGTTAGAAGGATAAATTGGGGTTTTTTTTCTTCCAAAAAACATAGAGAATCCATATTCTCTCTGAAAATAAGGTGCTGGATATTTGGGGGAAGTAGACATTTAATTCAAGTAAGTCTTTACATAAGAAGCACAATAGCTTGTTAGCTATGAAGGGCAAGTTTAGCAATTCGTTATTCAATCTTTGTTTCCAGGGAATATGTTTATATTTAATATACTCTATTGGTTGCCAGTATCTCAGATTCTAAACCTGTTAGAGTTCAGTGCATTTGGATCAAAAACTTAGCATCTCTGTTCTCTTCTGCTGAGAGGTAGAAAATTAAGAGGTAATATCTGACTGATACTATAGGTATCATGTATGGCATTTTGTATAATTCTGAACTTCTGCTGTACAGTGTGGCATCATTGTCCCCTTGTTTGGGGGAAGTGTGACATCAGGAATTCACCTGTTTACTGCAATTCTAGGAACTGCAAACTGTTACATAACCTGTGCCTAAAATCTCTTGAAGCAGTAGTGTTGTGTATGCAAGGATAAGCGCTGGTGTACTTAAAACTGCCTTTGCTCTTTGACCGTGTACTATACAGTGATAATGCACTAAAACATAAATTTCAAGTTGTAAAAGAATGTAATAATTTTTCCTGCTATAACAATGCAGTGAAGAGAATAGAATGAGTAATGATTTTACAGCAGGAAACTAACGGACCAGTGTAGTTACAAAGTGAGTAATATGAATATGAACTCTGGACTTCTTCTGGTGACTGATAGGACAAAAATATTTGGGTTTTGAATATATTTTCATATGTACTTTATAGTTCCACCTTAACTTTCATAGAAGAAGACTTTTCCACGGCTCAGTTCAACATGTGTTCATCTGGATTGATTTAAATGGCCCAGTGAGGCAAAAAGGTGGGGTAATTTACACGTGTTGATAATGTTACAGTATCTTTGAGAGGATTACATTTCAGAAGTGACTTCTGAAGGTGAACCTACAGAAATGAGTGGAAAAGATGCAACTAAATCAATACATTGATACAAGAAGTACAGATTTAGATATTGGCACTGCACTTAATTTTCTCCTGCAAATCATTAGAAGTTGCATGACTGTGAAGATACGACTATTATCAGTCAAGCTTTGAAAGCATTCTGGCAGTAAGTTTTGTTTTTCTGTTCAGTTCTTGCTTTAGTGATAAAATTGTTCTACAGCAATCTTGGCTTTCATGTCTCATCTTTCTGATGAAGTTTTTCACTGTTTTTTATCCTCACTTATTTAGTGCTTGGTTTTTTTTTTTCCAAAGAATACTCTGGATTGAATGGTTTTTCTGCAAGCTGTGGTTTCCTGATAGGTTTTTCCATTGAACTGACTCATCAAACAGATTTGTCTGGTGTCCTGAAGCTAAAC